CTGCGGCGCGGCGACTACCCCGACCACCAGCAGTGGATGGGCCTCAGCGAGTCGGTCCGCTCCTGCCGCCTCATCCCCCACGTGAGTCCAGTTCCATATCAGGAGTGGGCCCTATGGACACAAAGGATAGATAGTTTCAAGACAAAGGTTCAACATTTAAAGTAGTGATCACAGAATAATTGAGAGTTTGGACAAAAGATAAACTATGGTAGATTAGTTCAATATAGCTGGCCCTGAACAAAAGCCAAGTTTACCCAGATACCAGTTAATCAACAAATATTTATTGAGCAAGTATGTGTTGGCTGTCCCGGGGCGTGGATAAGATAGAGGTCCTGTGCTGGCATCATTTTCAATGACGTTGTTGAAAAACTACCAATATCTAAAAAAAGGATAATTAAGTACTAGAATATATATATATATAGATAGATAGATAGATAGATAGATAGATAGATAGATATAGACACATAGGTAGTTATTGAACATACAGGAATTGAAAAGGAAACTCTTACAAGGTTAATTTTTTTGAGACTCTTCTCCTTTTTTGCTCCCCACCTGCATATTTTAGTTTTCCCCAACCTATACAAATAAAAGTACTTTCTCTCAATGGTAATCAACACAGAGAGATTTTACACATGTGCCACATATATTTTATTAATGTATTTTAAAACATTATGATTTTTGAAAAATTAGTCCTTGGGGTTACTGATTTTCTTGCCCCGCATTTTCCCTTATCCTATTCATAAATTATTAAATGAAAATCAATTCTTGTCTGAGAGACTTAAGATGTTTAACTTTGCTTTCAAAAGAAATATCCAAGCCCTTGGTGATCTTTCCAAGATTTATTTTAAACTCAATGCAGGGTCAATCATTTCACAAACTGACTTACTCTTCAGACACACATGCTTGAAAAACTAAAAATTTTTCTTCAAAATGGCCCAAATAGCAATAAGCTGTTAAAGGTTTGGGTTTCTCTGTGGTATGGTGTATTGGTTAGTTTAGCTAGCATGGTTAATAGGTTGTCCTTGGAAATATTTGAGTATTTTAAAGAGTGAGCTTGCCTTCTTAATTCTTTCAGTCACACTTTGTGATCCTGAAAAGGTACTGAATTTCCACCTTTGAAAATGGGGAGTATATAAATATTCAGAATTATGTAATTTTCACCATATATTTCAAAATGGCTTGAGCAGGTCTCCACAAAACTGAACTGCAGGAATGTGTTGGAATCTTTTCATGGTTTGCTTTCCTCCTCTTTCCATCTCTGGATGAGCTAGACTGGCTCCCACCGGATCAGACTCTACGAGAGGGAAGATTACAGAGGCCAGATGGTGGAGTTCACTGAGGACTGCTCCTCGCTTCAGGACCGCTTCCACTCCAATGAAATTTACTCCCTCAATGTGCTAGAGGGCTCTTGGGTCCTCTATGAGATGCCTAACTACAGAGGGCAGCAGTACCTGCTGAGGCCTGGAGACTACAGGCGCTACCACGACTGGGGGGCCACGAGTGCCAGAGTGGGCTCTTTGAGGAGAGTCATGGATTTCTACTGAAATAAGTTCTTCATCATTTCTCAATCTGGAAACTAATAAAATATTTTCTGTGTGTTTCTGGCACTGATTTGCTTGTGTTTTTCCTTTTATTCTACTTGTATTTTTTTATTTACACACACACACACAATGCAAGTGGAAACCAAGATGACTGATCCATAGGTAACAAAGACAATTTCCACAATAGAAATGTGTCTTCATATTAAGCAGAGCTTTAGAGTTTGCAAAACACTTTCACAATACATTATCTCATTTGATTCTCTGGCCTTTAAACAAGTTGCTGCTTTAAACCAGATTATTAGAAATCTATTCAGACTTCAGTTTTTCTCTGAGGAGTGAGGATCTGAAAAAGCTGAGGTTCAGAGATAGTGTGACCCATTTTTTAAATCAGGGATTCTGAAGCTGGGTATCATAATGGATTTCAGAAGATGCCAGAGTCCCCTAAATTATATGCAAAGTCAACTTCACAGATCTCTGGCAGACTCCCTTGACGCTGAGGAGGTCACATGAAACTCTCCGGATATGGAAACATAAGTGGAGCAATGCTGATGGGGAGGAAGAAGAGATGGCTGTGGAAAAGCTTTGGCTTTTCTGATGAAAGGCGTAGCTGCCCCTGGGGCCACAATTCCCTCATATCACACATTTTATACCCAAGGGGTGACAAGTATGAAGGAAATGCCACAATTTCAGAAACGCTGGCCTTGATGTGCTCAAGCCCCTGAACCAATGTCTATTCAGGCTCTTCAAATAAACAGAAGCAATGTGATATGTAGATATAGATGATATAGATACAGATATAGATACAGATATATAGATATGGATATGAGGTTATTTATTATAGGAACTGGCTTATGTGATTATGGAGGCCAAAAATCCCATGACCTACAAGCTGGAGAAACAGGAAAGCTGATGGTATAATTTAGTGAATCCAAAGGCCCAAGAAGAAGTAACTTTATGTCTGAAGGCAGAAGATGGAGGTTTCAGCTCAAGCAGAGAGAACAAATTCTTCCTTCCTCCACATTTTTGTTCTATTCAGGCCCTCAATAGATTGTATGATGCATCGGTGAGTACCATCTTCTTTACTCAGTCGAAGGGTTCAAATGCTAATCTCTCCAGGAAAAATCCTCACAGACACACCCAGAAATAAGGTTTTACCTACTCTCTGGGCATCCCCATTCCAGTCAAGTTGGCACATAGAATTAACGAGACACAATGCCAGCAGTCTTTCACCTTCACGTTTCTTATAATGAGAGTAAAATAAACCACATGTGTTTTTGCCCTTGTAATTCAGTGTTCTGTTATTTGTAGTTCAAAACACATTTCTAACTGATACACAGCATATGTAAATTTTTCTGAAGTGACTGCTTAGAACTTTATTCAGAGTCTAAAAATTCCAAATACAAAATGGGAAGAAGGAGGAGGAAGAGAACGAGGAAGAGGAAGGAGAAGAAGAAGAAAAGAGAGAGGAAGGGAGGGAGANTTCACCTGAGGCAAATAGGTTCATGCTCCCACATTTTCCATTTGCAGATCACCTTCTACGAGGACCGGGGCTTCCAGGGCCGTTGCTACGAGAGCTGCAGCGACTGCCCCAACCTGCAGCCCTACTTCAGCCGCTGCAACTCCATCCGCGTGGACAGCGGCTGCTGGATGCTTTATGAGCAGCCCAACTACCAGGGCCGCCAGTACCTCCTGCGGCGGGGCGACTACCCCGACTACCAGCAATGGATGGGGCTCAGCGACTCCGTCCGCTCCTGCCGCCTCATTCCTCAAGTGAGTGTGGCTCCTCTGTCTTTGTCTTCAGTCTCTTTGGAGATGAAAGCCATTAAAAACTATCATTCTTCGACCAAATTGTTCCAATTAGGGAGTAGAAAGTAGAAGTGAGACTAGCGCATGCGGTCCATTTTAGAAGGGTGGCTCAGATGGGAAGCCACTCTTCATGAAATGTTTCTTTTTTTTTTAAATCATATGTTCCCAGACTTTATATTTTAAATGTAATAAAAATTAAAAGACCAAAGACTAAGAAAAAGCAGAGCATAGAGACTGAAATTACCATCTGTTCAAGATATAATTTCTTAAAGTGGTGATTTCAAGCCGTATCAACTCAGAAATCCAATATAACAAAATTTAGAAATACAATCTGGGTCTGTTTAATTGATAAAAAATACTTCTGCTTGCTTTGGCTTATTTTTCTATTTATTTTCCTGGAGAAGATGGACCCTGTCTTCTGGTTTCTATTCTAATTTCTATTCTAATGATCAGTACCTATCAGCTCACTTAGAGGTATAAATTAGTGGAAAGGCCAAATCCAAAACTTTAGTTTGAGATTCAGTGTTTTCTGAGAGTAATTGTAGGGTTCTTAGAAGAATAAAGTGTAGGAGGCAGGGAATATAGTATCATCCAAACAGAGCTTCATGAAGATGATTCTTGCAGCTGAGGGAAATGAGTAAATTGAGGGTTGGAGGCCAGAAAGGAAGCTGAACAGTCAAATAGGTTGAAATCTGAACTGTAACTGAGGTTATGATAACAAAGGTAAGAAAAATGTGTCATCTTAATTTTTTCCAAGAACTTCATACTCCTGTGTTCCATAGTGTACATGAACACGAATACTACATCAGTTTTATGGAAAATAGCTAAATGTTGATTCTTTTTTAACAAGAGTAATATATAAAATGAGACTGGGCTTTCCCAATGACTCTCATTTTCCACTTTTGAAAAGGGCTTTCCCTAATAACAGGCACTAAAGTAACCCATTTTATTTTAGGCAAACCTTACTTCCCAAGCATAGACACTGGTGGGTAGCAGTTGAAAGGCTGCTGAGCTCTGTTTCTTGTTTAACCCATAAATCATTAGACTCACTACAGTGGGTGATAGGGGGCCAGGAAGGCTCTTTAACTCTGCAACATGGCTGTTCTGCAAGCAAACTTGGACTCTGAGAACTTCTGGGCAGGTGTGGCCAGGGAGGTGCGGGAGTAGAGCTTGAATTTCTCTCTGTGTTCATTTACTCTTTTTTTTTCCTGTCTGCCACCTCAGCACTCTGGCACTTACAGGATGAGGATCTATGAGAGAGAGGACTTCAGAGGACAGATGTCAGAGATCACTGATGATTGTCTGTCCCTTCAGGATCGCTTCCACCTCAATGAAATCCACTCCCTCAATGTGCTGGAGGGCTGCTGGGTTCTTTATGAGATGCCCAGCTATAGGGGAAGGCAGTACCTCCTGAGACCAGGGGAGTACAGAAGATATCTGGACTGGGGCGCTATGAATGCCAAAGTGGGTTCTTTTAGACGTGTCATGGATTTTTGCTGAAGTATTCCCATTCCCTACTTGTCTCCTTTAGAATCTAATAAAATATTTTAGCTTCTGTTTCTGGCACTACTAAGAGTCCTGCTTTTCTTTCAATGTACTAAGCGTTCATATGTAATAATGGCACTTGGCCAAAATCATGACATATGTTTTCAAGATGCGGAAACGTTTTATAAGTGGGATAAAGTAGAGGATGTTATTGCCAGCATCCTTTTAAAGATTAAACCATGTAAGCTCAAAGAAAAGTTTCAATTCAATTGGGCTAAAGCCATTTGTGGTTGGTCTTACAAGGATATTTTTGCAGCTACCATGATGAATTAGTTCTTATTGAGACACCTCAAGTTGTCTTTTGAGGTTATCCCCATCATCTTCCTAATGAAGTCCAAGTCTTAGCTGATGAGGAAAGTCGTTTTCAGCATCTAGACTCTGCCTTTATTAGCTCTATAAACAAACTGGCCCAGCACACCTATTGCACTCCTATCCATTGCCAGTGTTCCTTTCCTCCTAATTCCATTTCAATACCCCATTCCTCCATGAAATTTCCAGTCCAAATATAATTCATTGTCAGCTTATAGAAGAACTGTACTTTGTAAAAGAATTTCAGGATTTTTACCAATATCGCATGCCCTCAGCCTCACCATTTTAATAGGAAATTGAGAATTATGACTATACCCAAAAAATAATACTAAATGGAAAATAAGGAATTGAAATTTTCTGGAGAAGTTTGATTGTATATTTGTTTCCTTTATTTTTAAAGAATGGATTAAAGTCACTAATAAAAAATGTACAATATAATAAATAAATTAAAAATTAATGACTGACGAAATTGGGTCAGAGGATAAACAAAAGTAAGAGAGAAATGGAGCCAGGAGTGAAGTACAAGCCCAGCTTTCGTTCTGTAAGGTGTTTTGTGGGCTGTAGATAGAACCAGATTTGGATCCAGCAGCCAAGGCAGAGAGAGAAACAAGATCAGTTCCACAGCTCATAGCATCTATAAGACAAATGAAAGAATTATTCAAGACAAACTTAAGCGTTCCCAGTACTGAAACCTAAAAGAAAGTTTTCTTGTGGGT